GTAGTATTTTAAAATTACTAATTTATTGTTATTGCCATTAATGTAGGTTCATTGGGATGTTGACGAAACCAATGAGAAGCAGCGGAAGTATCTGGATGAGCTTTCAGGAAGCTTTTTAGGCAGTTGAAGTTGAACTGTAATAATTTTTTTTTGTTTTTTTTTTTTTGAAATAAGATTTTGTGGACTTTATATTTATTTTAATTAATAAATTTATGTTATGTGGAAGAGTATTAATATTTACATTAATTCTAATTTTTATTTGGGATAGTAAATTAGTTTTGTTAATTAGTTTAATGTTTAATTAGGTTTGGCCTTTTTTATTTGGATTAAAATAAAAATTTACATTGCATAAAAAGAAAAGGGAAAAACATTCAAAATATGCATGTTTCATCGCGCAATTTGTTTAAAAGAATAAATTATAAAGTAAAGGAAATAAAATAAAAAAAATTGTAAACTGGCACGATGAATACATTGTTTGTCGTGTAAAGGCTATTTGCGAGATGAACAAATTGTTAGTCACGCAAAAGACAATTGTGTGACAAAGACTGTGTTCGTTGCGCAAAATCATTGTCCAAAAGTGAACCTTATAATCTTAATTCAGCTATGCAGAGGCAAACAGCAATAAAACTGTAGATTTAGCCTCTACACTTATCCTCTTCAGTTTTCCTCAATCCGGCATCCGTCATTTCCAATTTCTCTCAATTTCATCATCTAATACTCCCTCCATCTTCTTCCCTAGGTTGATCGAGCAATCTCAATGTGTCTGGTATACTTTCTTTTTCTTTTTTTTTTTTGTTAGAGTAAAAGTATTAATGTAAAGTCATACTAATGCCATGAATTTCATTGTCTATAAGGATATTATGTGTGATTAGCGATTGGTGAAGAACTATTGAGAAGGTATTTTCTTCGTTTTATTTTTAAAAATATCAAAGTAATTAAGTTATGTTGAACCTATGTTGTTATGTTTATATTGTGCTGTGAAATTATATTTATACTTTGTTGTTAAATTTGTACGTGACGTACAAATGTGTTGTGATGTACGGAGTTAATTGTAATTAACTTCGTACTTGTTTTTTATATTTTTTATTTTTAGTAAAACTTAGTTTCCCGTTCGAGGATTAGTTGGATTTCGCGCACGGATGCGTCACGCATGACACTATCATTTGTATGGAGTTGTTGTGATTGTTGTACTATTATTTTGGTTCCAAGAATTATGAACAGGACGTGGATACAAAACCCGAATAGATGCGCGGACGAATACTTGGATGGAATCAAGGATTTGATTGACTTTGCTCGTACACACAACCCGGGTGCAACTAGAATCCGGTGTCCTTGTAGAAAGTATAACAACACATTACGGGAGACAATTGAAAATGTTCGATTTCATTTAGTAAGGAGTTGAGACATATAATACTTGGAACCATCATGAGGAACAATTAGACAATGCTTCATCTTCAAACGCCACAAGAGTGGACAATGTTACATCTATTATGGATCCTAATGAACAAGTGATGGATATTATAAATGATGCTTTTCCATTTGCATCGACAAACACCAATCAAGAAGGGGAAAATGACGTGCCTACACCAATGGACAGTGTAGAGTTCGAACAATATGAAAAACTATTAAAAAATGCCAACCAAGAGTTATACTCAAGGTGCAAGAGCTTTTCAATTCTCACGGCCATTGTGGAACAAATGCCCGGAATAATAAATTATCGTATGTCGAGCCAGTGTTTCGATTACATTTTAAGGGTTTTCAAAAGAATGCTTCCAAAGGACAGTTGTTCGCCAAAAGACCATAGACATGCGTAGAAGGTGTTGAATGGTCTTGGATTGGGTTATGAAAAAATTCATGCTTGCAAAAATAATTGTATTTTATTATACAAAGAGAATAAAACATTGGATAAATGCCCTGTACGCAATGAGTTAAGGTTCAAAATGACATCTCAAAATAAAACAACTAAGATCCCATAAAAAGTCATGCATTATCTGCCTTTCAAACCTAGGTTGCAATAATTGTATATGTCGACACATACTTCCACCGACATAAGAAGCCTTAAGGAAAAACGAGTAGATGATGATGTAATGAGGCATCCTGCAGATGGGGAGGCATGGAAAGAGTTTGATGGAATGTTCCCTAAGTTTGCTGCTAATCCCCAAAATGTTAGATTGGGACTTGCCACTGGCAGATTCAATCCGTTCAGGTTTCTAAACCAGCACCACAGCACTTGGCCGATTTTCGTATTCCCCTATAATTTGCCACTTTGGAAATGCATGAAAAAATAATACATGATGATGACCCTTTTGATAACTGAGGATCCTGATAGATTAATCGATGTTTACATAAGGCCATTGGTTGATTAGCTAAAAGATTTATGGACAAACGGTGTGCGCACGTACGATAAGTGCATTGGGAAGATGTTCACTTTGCGGGCATCAGTTATGTGGACTATGAACAATTTTCCCGCATATACAATGGTTTTTGGGTAGAGCACTAAGGGTTATATGGCATGCCCTCTATGCAAGGATGATGTAACATTTGATTGGCATGCCAGAAAAGTTTGTTACCTTGGTCATTGAAAATGGTTACCATGAGACCATGAGTAACGGGAAAAGGAAAAAGAGTTTGACGGGAAAACAGAGCATCACCTTAGACCTAGAGAATGGTTCGGTGCTCAAATTTTAGAACAGCTTAACTGTTTGGATTTTGCTCCGTTCAGAATAACAGTGAATAGGACCAGACCTTCTATACATATGAATTAGATGCATAAGCTTATATTTTTTGAGCTCCCGTATTGGTCGAAACTAAAATTGAGACACAACCTCGACGTTATGCATGTTGAGAAAAATGTATTTAACACTTTGGTGGGCACCATTCTAGATATTGAGGGAAAGACAAAAGACACAATCAAAGTTTGTCTTGATTTGGAAAGAATGGGCATACAAAGGGGTTTATGGATGAATAGGGATTGTGATAAAGCCAGAAGGGATCTTGCATTTTTTTCCATGAAACCGAATGATAAAAAAGAGTTTTTAAAGTTTGTATCGACTGTAAAGTTTCCCGATAGGTATGCTTCTAATACCATGTTACGTGAATGTTCACGGGGATAAATTTGCTAGACTAAAAAGCCATGACTGCCATATGGTTATGCAACGCCTACTTCCTATGGGTATTCGACACCTATTGCCGATAGATGTTGTGAAGCCAATCATGTTGTTGTCTAGGTTTTTTTTCCCAACTGACGGCAAAAACATTGCAAAAGTCGGACATTAATCAGTTACGCCATGACATTTTCCAAGTCCTATGCAAGTTTGAGGTGATATTCCTTTCCAGCTTTCTTCACAAGTATGATCCACGTGATGGTTCACTTGCCCGAATGAGCATTAATTGTTGGTCCTGTCAACTATCGCTGGATGTATCCAATAGAGAGGTATATAATCCTCATCATTTGTTTATGCATCATTAACCCACGCTTACTAATTTGTATCATATCGTTTTATTTTGGCAGGCTTCTTGAGGAGTTAAAAAAAAGTGTACGCAATAGGGCGAAGCCCGAATAATCAATTATAGAGGATTGGGTTCAATATAAGTCGCTTACATTTTGTGGAATGTATTTAAAAGATGTGGAGACAACTTTTAATCATCCTTAGCGTAATAATGATAGGGGTGTGAGAAAAGAGAAACTTTCTGTTTTTGCCCAATGCGCATGACCCTTTGGAGATCTTGTATGAGACAAGTCATTTTCCAAAAATGGGATGGAAGTAGCACATTGGTTCGTACTGAAGAATTGTGACGAGATAATGGCATACCTAGATAAGCATGAAGAAATGATGAAGCGAGAACATCCATCACATTTGTATGCCAAGAAACACCAAGAATTGTTTCCACAGTGGTTTCTCGAATATGTAAGTTATAAGTGTTTTGTATTTAATTTTCTTAAACTAACAGGTGTATGTTTTTGTATAATGTTAGGTGAATAAATTGAACGCATCGAATTCCCTCACTTACAGTGAAGAGTTATATAACTTGGCGTTGGGCCCGATACACGCTGAATGGTTCTCGGGTTGCCATGTTAACGACGTCAAGTTTTTGGGGGTTGCACGAGATGACAAGTTGTGTACACAAAACAACGGAGGCCATGTACCAGGTGGAGGTGAAAGTATGGACATTGATTTCTATGGCAAACTAACAACTATCGTGCAATTGCTTTTCAAAGACCGATGCCAAGTGATCATGTTTAAGTGTTAATGGTTTGATAGAAATCCAAATAGGCAAGGATGTGTTAAAATCGATCAAGGCTTACTATATGTGAACACTAAGAGAACTTGGTACGATGACGACCCTAAAGCCGGGAGAGGTTGGAAAGTTTTTCAAAAAATGGATCAGATGAACATGTATGCTATACCAGAACAAGACCCTACTGACGACGACGTCGACAACGTCACTGAACAATGTTTAGAATCTTCAATGGAAAATGATGCGGAAACATTTTGAGATACAAATCTTATCCAAGAACTGTTTCAAATACAAGGAGTGGCTTCAATCAAAGAACCGATTCAGTCAATTACAATTGACCTTGGTAATCATCGACGATACGATGGTGCAGTGGGTTCAAATGACGACGGTAACGTACCTATCGAGGAAGAGAATTGGGAGATAGAAAGTCATGATAACGATGATAGCGAAAGTTATTATAGTTCGGATGATGAATAATGCAATTTATTTGTGACTTGCCATGTAAAACATATTAAATGAATTTTTTTTTAATTTATTTATCTTATGTTATAAATAAATTGTTTTTTTTATTTCAATAAATATAAATTCAAACAAAATTTGAACTGGGTAAATTAAATTTTCAGCTCCTTGCGCGATGAATAAGAAATTAATTTCCTTTTCGTCGCGCAAAGAACTGAAAATTTTGACTTTCTGATGGGCACAAAATAATTTTGTGAAAATTTGAATTTTTTACGCAACAAATATCCTGCATTTGTTGAGCAAGAAGCTCGGGGTTAAACTGAAATCGCAAACATTTTTCCCCTGACCTCTTCGTCTTTGTAAACTCTCCCCCTCCGACACACCCTCCCTCTCTCTCACTAAATCTCTGTCACCCTCCCTCTTGCCCTCTTACCCTCTCGCCCCCTCGCACTCTCTATTCCTCCTCCGACAAACCCTCACCACCACACACCCATCTCCAGTGCTCCAGAGTCCCGTACCTAGGCCCACAATCCAGTCCACCCATCTCTGCTGCTAACAAGGTAAAGATTTCAAATTTTTTTAATTTATTTCGATTCTTGTTTAGGAATTTGGGGTTCCAGTTTACAGAGCATTAGATTAGAGAATTAAGGGATCGATTTTAGGGGATTAGGGTTTAGGAGCTGGAGTTAGATTTTTTAAAGGTTTTTTTTTTTTTTTTTCCTTGAAAAGTTGACTTCTTGATTTGTTGCATTTTGTTAACATTGTGGCATGTTCTATGAATTTAGTGAAGCTTCATTAAGTAATTTCTTGTTGAATTTATTGTAATAATGTGCAATGGCGTGCCATATATGGCTTCATCCTTGAACGGGGAAGTCAGTGATTCAAGTCGAAAGGGAGAGATTAAGAATGCATTGCTAATTTGCTACAGCATCTACGAGATTTGAAGTTAATTTAGTACCGTATCTGTTTCTGTCAATAAAAGTGATACTTGTTTCTAATTCAATGTGATGGGATTTCTTATTTTCTAGATTTATAGTAAAGACTTGGTTTTGCTTGGTGTCGGTGGGGGAGGGTTTTAAACTCAGTATTCAAACAATGTTTGTTTCGATATGAATTTTTTGTTTCTACATCCAACTTTAAGTTTTTAGCATAATTGTCTAGGTACATATTTTTCTATTTAACAAGTCACACAGTCTTTTGGCGAAGATAAGAATAATAAAGCATATATCCAAATATAATTCAAATCATCTTCTGATCAACAACTAGATTGCAATTAATCATCAATCAAAAATATGAAATTCTGATGCCAAATCGTGGAATCTACCAATCTTAAATGAGTTAGAAAATTTAGTATAACAATCCGTCTTTCTCATCAACAATTTTTAGTTGATGATTCTCGTTGGCAAGCTTACAGCCCATAAATGTGGCTTTCATTTGCCCTTCCTCAAAGTTAATTACAGGACAGAAGAATATTTCATATCATGCTTCTTTCACCTTTCAGTTTGCATTTAGATAATTTTCATATAAATTAGAATCAAACTTAAATTGTCCTGTCACGGTAGAAGACCTAGCTAGCTAATGTAATAACTCGTATTCCTTTCTTGAACATACGTGCATTATATCATGTCCTGTATGGTATGAAGTATGACATTTCCTGGCATAGATGTTTTAGAAGTTAATTACGAATGGAATCAAATAAACACCTTTCGGACATTTAAATCCTTAACATGAATTATCATCATATATACAGCATCTGAGAGAGGCTTTTATAGAGCATTAGGTTAGAGAATTAAGGGATCGATTTTAGGGGGATTTGGGTTTAATTAGGTGCCGGGGGTTGGATTTTTGGGGATTAGGGTTTACAATTTTCTTTTCACCAGACTATAAGAAACAGAGAGGATTTTTTGGGGATTAAGCATTTTTTGTTTAACAATAGGAGTAGGATTGAATTGTTTGTTACTAATCAACTTTGAGATAACCCACATTTGTTTAATTAATCTACGTGAAGGGTTAATACTGGTGACTTGGTGAAGCCCAAGTCTGCTTCATTTGCTTAATTTTCAGTTGTACTTTTAGCTTTACATATCTTTGCACTTACCTTAGTCTTTCAGACCTTTAGCTTTACATATCTTTGCACTTTTAGCTTTACATATCTTTACATATCTTTAGCTTTACATATCTTTACATATCTTTGTACTTTAAGCTTTACATATCTTTAGATATGTAATTTTCAGTTGTACTTTTAAATTTACATATCTTTACATATCTTTGTACTTTTAGCTTTACATATATTTGCACTTATACCGATATACAACTTTAAACACATGTCCTATGACCGAAGACATGTAATGGTAAGAAGCATCGGCTGTTCTTGAGTATCCACAAGCATTGTGTAGGTCCATATTTGAATGTTCAATTTGATCAACGACTTAAATTTAGTGAATGATGATCGTTGGACTACGCTCAACGATCAAGTATGTGTTGAGTCTATTGACACTAAGAGCATGTAGGTACTAAATTACAACAAAAAAATTTATATATGCAAATATAACCAACCTCACTCTTGTTGATTTGGTATAACCATCAGATAATTCGTCACCATCAGATAATTCGTCACTTCTGCAGTAGGTTTCTCTTCTAGGGTTGTGATAGGTTAATAACATTGAGATCTAACTTTAGCATTAGGTTAATAACTATAATATGATGAACAGTCTATAAAAAAAAAAAAAAATTTCTTTTCAAAAGGTTCTTAGCATTCCTCTTTTTCTGAAACTGTAGTTTCTCCACATATGAGAAATAGAGACATAGTTTCTTTTGTTTTTTTTATTTTTATAATCTCAGTTGAAAGGAGGGGAACTCATATGAATTTGAGAAAAGCTAGTGAAGGATATGTTTGTGTTTATGTTTGGAGGCCTACATAAGGCAGCTGCTGCCCAAGCCAAATGGCTCTAAGTACCGTATCTATTTTTGTTTAATTGAATGAGGAAATGCATATAGGTAAGCGGACTGTTCTTTTGTTTCTCCTTCAATGAAATGCATATAGGTCAAGATGCTTTTATGGTCTAATTGTCGATTTTATGCTTGATTTCAGATTTAGGGATTTAGGGATTAATTTAGTTAATGTTTAACGGTATATATATGGCTCAAATGCTTGATTTAGTTATGCGTGGGGTTGGTGTGAGTGATATGCCACACAATTAGGCATGTGATTGGATTGATGTATACTTAATGAATTTTTTTTTTCTATTTGTGCAGATGTCAAACCTTATTAGAAGTCGTAAGGCGGTGATGACTGCACCCCGTTCAATTCCCCCGCCTCCTCCGTCAGCTGCCACAGCTTTAGCAGAAATGGACCACAGCCTGGTTGATCCGGTTGGTCCCGGGGTATCCCAGGCACCGATGTCATCAGCCTCATCAGTGGTGTTACCTGTTAGCGCCAAGCGTGGTCACCGCCGCCCCTGCACACCTAACACGACTTCAGCATCCACTACTAATGCCTCGGGATCACAACAAGGTAAAGTTAAATAATGCCCCGCACCGCACGGTGATAACTGTTTTTGTTTTTTTTTCTATAATGCTTTGTTGATTTCTCCATATAGATTGTTCTACGTGATATTGGATTGCCTAATGATGCTAGAAGGGTGGTCATTAGTTCTTTGTAGGGAACAAAGTGTCTCTGAAAATGTTTGTTCAAATTTTCTGCTTAATTCCGAGTTTTACTAGTTTAATTTTGTTCAAAATTTGAGTTGGAGCTACTTTAAGTTCGATCTTTAGTTAGTTAGTTAGGTAAGTAGAAGGAACATGTGTAAAGTGGATAATTTAGTTTTCTCTACATGTCATTTATATAAAGGATTCTCATCTGAATGATCATGGTAGGCGTTAGGCCGTTAGTCTTCAAGTGTTGAAGCAATTCATAATAGAATTTCAATTTGCTGCTTAAATTCCCAAGATCTACTATGTAATATTTCACTTGGCATCCACTACTAACGCATTCAACTGTTGTGATTATTGTTGAATATCATATATTATTCATTACAATGTTCAAGGTTTGGGAATTGTTATAACTTTAGGGGAGGTTATGTCCAAATTTCAGTTTACTTTGTTGTGTTTGTTTGACTGTTTTTTATTTTTGGCAACAAGGAAAAATACCCGGGGACCTTGTCGCCAGTTAAAGACAGCTAAGGTCACCCGGGTGACCAACGGACGTATCACGATCGGATACGATGACGGGCATCAGACTGCACCTACGATGGAGCAGCATAGTGCATTGGCCCACGACATTGGTCATGTTGTTTGAACCTTATGCCTTATGCAATGGAAGTCTTCGAAGGTGATGCCAAACGGGTGAGGACGAAGGTGCGCTCATATTTGTTGGTAAGTGTCCCTTTTTATTGCTTTTCCTTTAAATTTTATATATATATATATATATATATATATATTACTTAAACTATGTAATTAATTTGTTACACTGCAGACGAACTACAATTTCGACGACATCAACCACAATATGTTGGCCTACGTCAACAAGCTCTTCACTGAATGGTACAAACAATGGAAGAGCGACCTACACCAATATTTTGAGACATTTGATGATTCGCAAGTTACTCTTGAGGAGGGTTGCCCGAAGGAGTTTGATGACTGGGAAGAAAATTGGGTGTGGTTCTGCAATCATTCTCAGGAACCCGACTATGTGTTATCTTTTTAATATTAAGTCTAAAAGTATTATACGTTTCTTACTAATGTTTATTGATTTTTTTTATATTTCATTTAAATTTGAACTAATACGTTTATTTTTTGTACAACAGAAGAAGGCAAAAGCCAACAAGATCAATTGGGGGAAGAAGACTCTTCTCCACCATTCAGGTTCGAGGCCCTTCTCATATAGGATGGAGGCGCAGCGGCAGGTAATAATAACGCTTTTCATATTCAATTTTTAATATGTCAGTAATATTAATTTTTTTTGTTCGTACTAACATTTTTCTTATCTTGTTCTATTCAGGGAGGTTCAAATTTTCCCGAGATCGATGTCTTTGGATACGTTTATGTTCAACCCAAGGATGAGCTGGCCGAGTACCTTCATGTAAGTATTCTTCAATTGTAATTACTATCTTACGCATTGAAGTATCATGGTTATTATTTCAATGTTATTATTAATATTGCATGTTATATTACATAGACGACGATGATGGAGAAAAGGCGGTTGGTTCTTCAGGAAGTCGACTCCCAACTTCTTCCCAAGACTCCGCTCGAGTCTGGGGATCCCCCCGAGGATGCAGGGTTCCTGATCGTTACAGAGACCTTAGATTCAATTCTCAGGTGGAGGCCGGGGATGTATTGTAGGGCAATGGGGAATGCTCGACGCCAGGAACCTAGAGCCTCTTTCTCATCGCAGTTGAAGAGCGAGATGGCAGCTTTGACAGCAGAGGTGGTCGACCTTAAGATTGAGCTCGCCTTGTATAAGATGAAGATGTCACTAATCGTACAGGCCATCAGTCATTCCAGCATTTGTCTTTCAGATTTGTGTCTTCCATCGACGTCTAAGCCCTTCCAACCCGAGTATGCCTAGAACTCTGCCCCTTCGACCTCTGAGCCTTTCACCAACCCTGAGACCTTCTTGCCTCGAGATTTCCAACCGCATGCGAATGATGACCCTATGGATTACTCCACATTATTTTCTTAGTTTTTTTACTCCCTTACTTATTAAACATTTTCCTTGTACATACATTTTTTAATTATTTAAATAAATTAATTTTCTCTTCATTACATTTTTTAATTGCAATTTAATTTTATTATTTTTATACAAAATTAAAAACAAAACAAAAAAAAAAAAACAAATTAAAAAAAATTATTTTTCTTTTTGCGCAACGAGTATATTCGTCTCACATAGTTCTTGCAACTAACAAGAGTTCATCACGCAAGAACAACATATCATCCTACAGAGTTTTTAGGGACGAATATTAGTCGTCCCATGTATGTATCTTGGCATTTTGTGTGACGAAGCCATTTGTTCCTAAAAGTTTTATGTGATGAAGGCTAAACCATCGCATAGTGTTCTTGCGACTAATGCTATTGTTCGTCGCGCAAAGTCTTTCTTCATGCTCTTTGCTAGACGAATTCTAGGAGACGAAGTTTTTGTCGCGCAGACGTCTAGGCGACGGAAATACACCTTGCACGAACAACTTATGTTCGTCACGCTAAGGGTTAAAACGTAGTAGTGCAAATTTTTCCAATTCCTCAAAATTTTCAAAAAAAAAAAAAAAAAAAAAAAAAAAACCCCAAGACCCTTGCCGATTCCATCCACTCCCATCTCCTTAGGCGCTTCAACATCAACGAGGACTGCCCGGTATTTGATAGTATCTTTGATATCTGCCAGACCTCCGCCAGCAGCTCAATCGGCGCTGTCGATTCTGATATGATTCCTATTTAGGCCGTTGAATTCCAGGTTTCAACTCATGTCAAACTTGCCGGTGAGCAACGAGGCGATGAAGGGGACGTTGGCATTGGTAAGGAGGCCAGAGTATTGGTTGGCAAAGGCGTTGGGCGGCAAGATGGAGTTGGAGAGGACGAAGCAGAGGCCAAATCTCGGGATCTATGAGAGGATGGAGAAGACGAAGGAGGTGGTGAAGGAGGTGACAGAGGTGGAGTTGGAGGTGGGTTTTTTGGGAATTTTTGTTTGGTAGAAGATGCAACCGACGGCGAACTGGTTGGTGTTATTTGTGAGGTTGGTGGCATTAGTGATGTTGGAGAAGTAGTTGAAGAGGAAGTTAAGAGCAGAGGTGCGAAGTGGAAGAGGTGGTTGAAGAGAATAACGATGAGTACGGCTACGAAGGATGGGTGGGGGGATGGTGCAAGTATTTGGGAAAGTAGTCGACGATGGGGGTGTAGGAGAAGGGTAGTGGAGTAGACTTGGGGAATTGAAAATATTTGAGGAAGATTTTTTTTTTAATTTATTTTAATTGTTAAATAAAAAATTAATTTTTTGTTAATAATTAATTAATTTTTTATTTTACTTGGTGAATGAGTGGGTCCCACTCCTACCACGTCATCATTTAACAGCCAAATTGATAGAAACTTTAACGAAGGTCTGACATTGTAACGAATTCATAAGTTGAAGTATGAAATTGCAATGTTTAAAACATAAGGTATGAAATTACGATTCAACCCATAGTTGAGGTAGTTTTGTATAATTTACCCTGAAATTTAACATGAGTAAATATTCATTTGACGGATGAGTTCACTTAAACTATGCATTGGTTGAATAAAAATAAAAATAAATAAATAAATATAAATATAAATAAAAAACCTCTCATTATTGTAAGGTTTGAATCCTACCATGCGTACTTTTTTTAGGGTAAACTAAAACTTTCATTAGAAGTTGAAAATCGTTTGGGCAATATACCCATTTAGAAGACCTCTGGTAGTGGGCGGCTCAAGTGTTTTCTTGATGGATCATCTACGAACTACGGGACAAAAGTCAATAAATAAAATAAATAACTTTTTGGCCTATTTGTCGAAATTCCCCCTAACCTTATAACCTACTGCCAATTTACCCTTTGAACTTAAATTTTAGTCAATTATCCTCCTAAACTTTTATTTATGGCCAAATTCCCATCTTCCATTAAATATCACACATTTCATCCATGACTTCCGTTAGTTTGGAGGGCAAAATTGTCATTTCGAAGCAAACGTTCGAGGCTGTGGTCTTGTGGGTAGGCTTCGAAAACAGTCTTAGAGAGAGAGAGAGAGAGAGAGAGAGCAACAATGAGCTATTGGTGTGGCGATAGGTGGGCTGCAAGAAGGTGGCTTTGTAGGAGAAAGGAAGGGGGATCACGACTTGAATCGAGAATCTAGGACCTACCATTGGAGGTTGTGGGGTGGGTGGATTATGGCAGGGTGATACTAGGCTTGAATTTGAGGGAAGGGGTAGGGGGGATAAATTTGATATGAGATTTAGGGTAGGTGAGAAGGGTTATAATCGAGTAGAAGAGGGGAAGTGAGAGAGATGTGGTTTTTTATTTTCTTTTTTAAATCTTATTTTTATTGTGAATCATGGATAAAATGTGAGAAATTTAAAAGGAAAACTAATGAAAAAGGCTTGAAAAGTTTTAGTTTTAACTAAAAACCATGTTATAAGTTTTGTTTAATGGTTAGTACAAGGCCTATATTAAAGCAGTCCAACTAATATGGCCCAACTATAATAAATTATGATTTGTCGATTTTACCCTTAATTTTGTAGTTGAGTTGTTTTAAATTTGTTCAGTTTGGTTTTCTTGTTAAGTTGTTTTTTTGCCGGGGCTGGTTGAAGGCTTTAAGAACGAGACTTTCGAATTCTTATCAATTTGAACGTGATTGTCGTTTCAACTTTTGAAGTGCTGATCAAATTGAATGTGATCGTTGCCTTTCAGATCGTCTGTAATTATTCGTACTATTTTCAACGTACTTTTCTAGATTTTCGTCGTTAATGGAGTTCATTATTGTTTTGCATACCTTCTTCTTTTTCTTTGAAACAAAAATATAGATCCTTATGCAATTTAATTTATGTTTTGTATTATTTCGTTGAAATGTGATCGTCGTTATTATTCATAGTGTATTCAAGGTACTATTTTTCAATTTTTCTTCGTTAGTGAAGTTCATCATTTGTTTATCTAAAAAATAAATTTGAGATATGCATGCTATTCAATTTGTGTTTCTTTATTAAATTTGAGATCTGCATGTTATTCAATTTTGTATTATTTCGTTGATAATTGTATATGAGTTGCAGAAGGTTTTTTCTTGTTTTGAAGATACATTGTTAGCTTTTTGTTCAGTTTTTTTAGATACAGGGTTGTTTTTTGTTCATTTTTTCATAAATAGTTTCAGTTTTTGTTCAGTTATTCAAAAATAGTATTATCTTTTGGTTCACTTTTATAATGAAATAGTGTTAGATTTTGGTTCGGATTTTTCAGAAGCTAGTTTTATGTTTTGGTTCTTTTTCTATAAATAGTTTTAGTTTTTGTTCAGTTTTTATAGAAACAATTTAAGTTTTTGTTCAGTTTTTGTATATGAGTTGCAGAAGGTCTTTTCTCGTTTTGAAGATACAGTGTTAGCTTTTAGTTCAGTTTTTTTAGATACAATATTGTTTTTGTTCATTTTTTTTATAAACAGTTTTTGTTTTTGTTCACTTTTTCCAAAAACAGTGTTATCTTTCGGTTTGGGTTTTCCATAAACAGTTTTAGTTTTTGTTCAGTTTTTCTAGAAACAATGTTATCTTTTGGTTCGGATTTTCCAGAACAGTTCTATGTTTTGGTACTTTTTTCCATAAACAGTGTTAGTTTGTTGTTCATTTTTTTAGATACAGTGTTATTTTGTTGTTCATTTTTCAAAGACAGTGTCATTGTTATATATGTTCATTTAATATTTGTGTATTGATTTTTATTTTTATTTTATTTTGTGTTGTATATTTATGGAGAATGGTATACTAACTCTATTTACTTAGGGTGGTTTATCTGTCATTAGTTCTATTTCATCAACGTGTACATTCGATCATATTTGTGTTGATCTTTGCTCTAAGGTTAAAGGTTCGAGACCAGGTTGTTTTGAGTTGAGATATTCTTTGAGTGAAGGATCTAATTGCCTATTGGATTGTGATGCCGACGTTAAGAACATTTGTTAGTTCTTGGTGTTGTTGGAAAATCTATAGTAGAAATATTGGTTTTGATAAATGTGCAGGTGATCTAGTTGAGTTACCTACGAATAATGTATCTTCTTCGTGTTATACATCATATTATATAGCGCTTGTTAGTGAAAATTATCATTTAGGGAAGTGTGGTTCTCATGGTATTCATAGCTACATGACTTCTAAATGGGAAGACTATATTGAATCCATGGGTCAAGTTTTTAAAGAAGGCTGTGCTAATTTTTGTGATAAGTTGAAGAAGTTCTCTGTTGAGTGTGGGTTTGAGTTGAAATATTTGAAGAATGATAAGAGTCAGATTAACTTTGAGTATTCTAGGAAAGAATCTAACGATTGTATTTGGCATGTATATGCATCAAAGTGTTCAATTAATGATTTTTTTGTTATTCGAAAATTGCACAATATGCATACATGTAAGGGAATGATCCGAAAGAAGAAAAACAAAGTTGTTGGTCGGAAATTTGTCGCTTCTTTCATTAAGGACAAGGTTTAGTCAAATCCACTTATCAAACTGAAGCAAATCATTTCAAACCTAAAATAGTTTTAGGACTAGACATTGATTATTCTACTCCATACTTTGGTAAAGAGAAGGCAGTTTCTGAGCTAAATGGCGACGTTGTTGATTCTTACAAGTTGTTGCCTTAGTATATAGATTAACCTTGCAAGCAATCCTGGATCTGTATTTGAGCTTGAAGTTGTACCAGATTCCAACAGGTTTCTTCGATTATTCATCGTTTATGATGCATGGATCAAGGGATTCATATTTTGTCGCCTAATTTTATTCATTGATGGTACTTTCATCAAGAGCAAATACAAAGGCACACTTCTATCCTGCTGTGCAAAAGATGGCAATGATGGTGAGTTAATAGTCTGACTTTATATTTGATGTTATATATTTTATGTAAATAGAAGTACATAAAAGTTTCATAAACAGTTGTATCACATTTTAGGTTACAAAAACAATTTAACGACGATTATACAACAGTTTAATTATAGTTACATAAACAGTTTTACTTTTTGTTCAGTTTTTCTAGAAACAGTTTTTGTTTTTGTTCATTTTTGTATATGAGTTGTAGAAGGTTTTTTT